GCCGGCCACCCCTGCCACAGACAACGGCATGAGAGCTGGGGACGGCAGGGACGGGCCCTCAAGCTTCCAGGCAAAAGCCCCTACACCTGCTATCGCAGTTCCAGAGCCTCTCGCCCAGCGAGTTTCAGTCACGCGGGGACTCTGCGGCACGGAGCCGCCAGCCCCTCAGGGGACTCCCGGGGCCGAGGCTCCTGCGCGGGCCCTGCGGGCGGAGGGCACACGTACTTCTCCGCCATGCGGCGCAGTGTCTTGAGCGAGGCGCGCATCTCCTCCTCCGACAGGCCCACCAGCAGCCCGTTGTCCTCCACGCCGATCTGGTACACGGCCTCCCCTCGGCCCTCCTGCAGTCGCCACTTCATCTGCGTCACCAGGTGCTCGAAGCGGTATTGCGAGGGATTCACCAGCTTCAGCTGTGGGACAGGGGTGGTTACGGGCACGGCCCTGAGGCGGAGGGAATCCCGCTGCCCAGCAACTGCCTAACCCAGCGTGAAGCAACGCCCTCAACTCTGACCCACCTCAAGAAAACACAGCCCACGTTAACACCTACACCGGAGCCATCAGGCAGGTGACAAAGGGTTCACAAAGGGGCGTACATATGGCAGAAGGACTTTACTTCATCTTGCCAAAAGGACCCTGCCTGCTGCGGGGTTAAAGACAAGCACTGTGGGACCTATCTGTGACATAGAAGAGAAGTACAAATCGCAGAAGAGCCACAAGAAAGTGACAAATGATTATCAGGGAAACACACAGCTCTTTCAAAAGGAAGATTTCAGGAAAAACACTGTGGGTCTCATATCCTAAAAGATTCCTGAAAACGAGCACTGAGATCAGACTCTTCCAGCTCAGCACAGTGGGTATTGCTAGGCACAGAGACATGAAAGATGACTGATAATGCCTCAGTACAGGGTCCAATTTTCCATCCCTTCCTGGGACATGTTTCCCATATGCTGTCTTTGGTGAAGTTACTCACTGAAAAATAACCCTCTCGGAGGAAGACCTCCTTCTGCAACCTCAAAAGGCTCACCTTGTACTCGATGTTCCCATCTTCTGCCTGGTCAGAGAACGAAACAAGACAGAGAGGTTAGATGCTGTGCCAATAAGGACTTCTGTAGGCAGCAGCTGCCCAGATACTCTGCGCCTTCTGCTGACAGTTTCAGAGAGAGGGAAAGTGGCAGAAATACACTGTGTTAGGTCACAGCCTCCTCTGCCATTCATTGCTGCGCTCAACTGGAACTTACTTTAGGTTTGTTTCTGCTGTTTGCAACCCACATCATGAAAACCAGAGGACAAAAACAGAGTGACACGGGGGGTAATACTGTTTTGGGGGGATTTTTTACTGCCAGTAAAGAATAGGGCCAGTCTAACAGTTGCAGAGAGAGTTCCAGTTTCAAAAAGGCACAGGGCAGCAGAAGTCTCCCCCCTTACCCATCCATGACCCACAATGCCCCTCAGTGCATCCCACTCCCACCCTATCCAGCAGCTTCCATCCACTCAATGTGCACAGAAACAGGGGACTGGGAACAGAAGTCACTGCCTCCCCCCCTGCACACTGATACTCTCCCTCAGTTATTTTTTCAATTACTCCTTTCCATGTCCTTGTGTATCTTCTCTCTGCAAGAGAAGAGGACTACAAACAAAAGGAAGCAAGCTACTGACTTCTTTGTAGCACAGCAAGCTGGTCACTGGCCTGGCATTTCTGGAGAATCAGATCTGATCAGGACTGTCTGCACACCATGTGCTCAGGAGAACTCTCACAGGAAGGGCTGGAGCCAGACTGGGTGGTCACAGAAAAGCCCAGGTATTCATCAAGCTCTCTCCAACTATAACAGGCTCCAGCTTTCCAAAGAGAATGTATTGGCAATACTGAAGCAAGTTTCCCACCAATTCAGCATAAGGACCACTGAGAAAGGGCTGGAGTCTGCAGGAAGCCACGTACTCTGGCAGATTAAATGGGGCTGCCAACACCAAGCACTTCCTTTTCCTCTAGACACCAATTTGCAGTCAGAAGAGGCAGCAGCCCTCTCCTTGTCTTCTAGCTCATCACCTAACCACAGCAGTGCTTATGGTGACAAAAGGCCAACAGAAGGAAGTTCCAAGTTGTCAGCTCAGCTCTTGGGCAGCAGACGTATGCAGTGAGAAAAGGGTACTTACAGAAGGTTTTCCTCCCTTAGCAACTACCAGCTTTCCAGCTCTAAGAAAAATACATACACATACCGTGCTGTTGTCTAAATAATGGGGTGGGTCTCTCAAGACAGCTGAGACTAGGAAAGCAACAAGTCTAGACTTGCTGGGCCACATACTGCATGGGGTAGCCAGGGACAGGAAGCTGTGCTGAAACCACAGGGGCTGCCCAGCCTCCAGCTGAAGGGGACAAAAACTAAACTGCAGCTGCAGGGGACAATCCTGCCTGTGGAGAAGATCTAACAGCAGCAAGGCACTGCTCTCCCTTCTTGCCAAGAGTCACAGGGGAGGAATTGCTCCCTCCCAGTGCAGGCTGTTACACATTTTACAGAAAGCTCACTGAGTGGGGCCAAGCAATTGGCTCCGGGGCAATGTAATGCTCCCCACCGTGGCAGTCCTGTTAGTGCAGTGCCAACTGCCTGAACAAACCAACAATACACCCACTTACTACCAATGCCATTTTTTTCCCCGGCTGCGAGAGGCAAGTGCCTCACACTCTTGTCAGTACCATCCGCATCTCCATACAATAAAACAGTCGCCTAAGTAGCTGGCAGAGGGGTCACTAGAACCTGCTGAGAAACGTCTATGAGTTCGGCAGCTGGAAAGGGACTTACACCTGTCAGATCGGCTCTCGGGGCGAGATGTGAATGGGATGTTGGGGACTGGAAGTTGAGCAAAGCTTTATTTCCGAAGCTATTTCGCTCCCAGACAGCAAAACAACCACGGAGGGACGCAAAGCAGCGAGACGCTCTTAAGGGACGGAGCAGCTCGGCGCGCCAGGCAGGGAGCTCACCGGCACCGGGGGCACAGGCGCCGGGC